TAATCCCACTTGTAACCACCAACAAAATGGTTATAGAATATGTACAAAAGAAAATGAAAACAGAATTTAAAAGATCAACTAAACATAAAACAAGACAGTAATGCAGGAAATGAGGACAAAAAATTATAAGGGATATAGAAAACAAATAGAAAAAAGATAAGGATATAGCAAAAATGATAAAATTTCCTCCTTATTAGCAAATATTTAAATATAAATGGATTAAACTCACCAACCAAAAGATGGAGGTTAACAGCTTGGATAAAAACATGATCCAACTATTTGCTGCCTATAAGAGACTTCAGATCCAAAGACACAAATAGGTGAAAGTGAAAGAATGAAAAGAGATAGTCACAAAAATAGTATCCAAAAATGATCAAGATTGGTATATAGTATTAAACAAAAATAATTTAAACTAAAAAGTTTATGAGACAGAGAATAATAATATATATTAATAAAAGGTTTAGTACAGCAAGAAGATACAACAGTTGTAAATATGCACCTAATAGATCATTAAAGCACATGAAGCAGACACTGACAGAATTGAAGGGAGACGTAGACAGCTCAACAGAGACTTCAATACTCAACCACACAGAAGGTAAAAGGAAAATAGAGGACTTACACAACATAATAACTCAGCTGAGTCTAACACACATATACAGAACATTCTACCACCAACATACTCTTCTCAAGTGCACCTGGGACACTTTCTAAGATAGACTATATGTTGTTAGGTCATAAGTTTAGTCTCAGTAGATTTTAAAAAATAGCTAATATACAAGGTATTTTTTTTAACCACAATGGAATGAAGTTAGAAATCAATAACAAAAATTAACTAGAAAAATCGCAAGTTTGTGGAAATGAAATAATACACTCTTAAAGAACAAATGGGTCAAAAAATTAGAATAAAACAAAAGAATGAAAATGAAAACAGCAATTAGAGCTTATGGGTTAAAGTGAAGGCAATGCTAAACGGGAAATTTATAGCTATTAGGAAATAAGTGAACTAAAAAGTGGATTCTTTGTAAGATCAACAAAACTGACAAAGCTTTATTTAATGATAGGACTAAGAAAAAGAAGACTCAAGATATTAAAATTAGAAATGAAAGTGGGGATTTTATTACCAATTCTATAGAAATAAAATGATTGTAAGAGAAGGTTATGCACAATTGTTTACCAACAAATTGGATAGCTTAGATGAAATGGACAAATTCCTAGAAACAGAAAACCGACTAAGACTAAATTATGAAGAAGTGTGAAATATGACCCAACCTATAACTAATAAGGGGATTTAATAAAAAATTAAAAATCTCCCCACAAAGTAAAGCTCTGGACCTGATGGCTTCACTGGTAAATACGGCCACATGCAAAAAACCCATACCAATACACAAAAAAACTTTGAAAAATTGAAAAGAAGAAAATACTTTTTAACTTTTCTGTAAGGCCAAAATTACCTTAATCCAAAGTCAGAAAAGATATCATGAGAAAAGAAATCTACAGAGCAATATTCCTTAACACTGATGTAAAACTCATCAATAAAATACTAGGAAAGAACCAAATAAACAACAAAACAAAACAAATTCAGCAGCACATTAAGAGTTTATGCCAAGGATTCATTTCTGAGATGCAAAGATTTTTCAACATACAATAATTGACCACTGTAATATACCACATTAACAGAATGAAGAAAAAAAATCCACAAGATCATCTCAATTAATGCAGAGAAAGCGTTTGACAAAACCCAACACCCTTTTATCATAAGAAAGACTCAGTAACTAGCAATAGAAGGAAACTACTTCAACATAATAAAAGCCATATATGAAAAAAGCCACACAGTCAACAGCACACTTGGTGAAAAATTGAAAGCTTTTTCTCTAAGATCAGATATAAAACAAATAATTCTGATTTTTCCATTTCTGTTCAACACAGTACTGGAAGCTCTAACCAAAATAAGTAGGCAAGAAAAAGAAGCAAAAAAAAAAAAAAAAAAAAAAAAGGCAGAAAAAAAAAATTATCTCTTTTCACAGACTGTATGATCTTATATGTAGAAAGCCCTAAAGGTTCCCTCTCTCTCTCTCTCTCTCTCTCTCTCTCTCTCTCTCTCTCTCACACACACACACACACACACACACACACACAGTTAGACTGAATAAATAAATTTGGAAAATTGCGGGATACAAAGTCAGTTGAATTTCTATTAATTAATAATGAACAATCTGGAAAGAAAGTTACCAAAATGTTTATATTTACAATAGCATCAAAAAGAATAAAATAGGAATTAACCAATAAGGTGAAAGATTCATTTTGTACAATGAAAACTGCAAATATTTCTGAAATAAATTAAAGACAGGGATGGGAATAGGAAAGACAGAATGAATTGGACATAACTTTCCCATATTCATATATGAATACATGACCAATGAAACTCCATATCATGTACCACCACAAGAATTGGATCCTAATTAGAATAAGTTATATACTCCATGTATGTATAATATGTCAAAACATACTATACTGTCATGTATATCTAAAAAGAACAAATATTTTAAAACTCAAAAAAAATTTTTAAAAAGAAATTAAAGACAGAGATAAATGGAAACACACGCCCTCTTCATGGACTGGAATATTAAGATGTCAACACTACCCAATCTCCTGATTCAGTGCAGTCTCCCTCAAAATCTCAATGACATTTTTTTTGCAGAAATTGAAAAACCCAATTTAAAATCAGCATACTATAGTGTTGCAGCCACATCAATGTGGCTAAATTCACAATAGCCAAACTATGGAACCAACATAGATGTCCTTCAACAGATGAATGGATAAAGAAAATGTGGCATATATTCACAGTGGAATATTACTTAGCCTTAAAGAAGAGTGAAATGATGGCATTTGCAGGTAAATGGATGGAGCTGGAGAATATCATGCTAAGTGAAATAAGCCAATCCAAAAATCCAAAGACTGAATTTTTTCTCTGATATATGGATGTTAATTCACACTAATTGGGGGTGGCTAGGGAAAAATAGAGGTACTTTGGATTAGGTAGAGAGGAGTGAAGGGAGGGGAGGGGACATGGGGGTAGCAAGGATGGTAGAATGAAACATACATTATTATCCTATGTGCATATATGACTATAGACTGGTGTGATTCAACGTCATGTACAAGCAGAAGAATGAGAAGTTATACTCCATTTATGTATGATGTATCAAAATGTATTCTATGGTCATGTATAACTAATTAGAACAAATTAAAAAATCTAAAAAAAATCCCATCCTAAAATTCATAAGGAATCTCAAGGGATTTCAAATAACTGAAATAATCTTGAAGAACAAACTGAAAGAGTCACATTTCCTGGTTTTTGAAACTTCCTACAAGGTCACAGTAATCAAAACTGCATGTTATTGGCAAACAGCTATGAAATGGAATAGAGAGCCCAGAAATAAACCCTTCTCGTATGATTAAATCATTTTGATCAAGGCACTAAGACCATGCAATGAGGGAAGGGCATTCTTTTCAACAAATGGTTTGGGCAAACTGCATATCCACATGCAGAGGAATGAAGCTGGACCCTTATCCAACATCATCAACACAAATTATTTCTAAATGGGTAAAACACTTAAGTATAAACCTACAACTATAAAATTCTCAGTGTGGGGGCTGGGGATGTGGCTCAAGTGGTAACACGCTTGCCTGGCATGTGTAGGGCACTGGGTTCCATCCTCAGCACCACATAAAAATAAAATAAAGATGTTGTGTCCTCCAAAAACTAAAAAATAAACATTAAAAAATTCTCTCTCTCTCTCTCTCTCTTTAAAAAAAAATTTCTCAGTGTGGCTTTGTTGTGCCTTGGTAATTTCTTTCTATTGTTTTCTATTGCTTGGTAGAAAACAGAGGAAAATCTTCATTACATTGGCCTCAGCAATGATATTTTGGGTATGACACCAAAGTCAAGACAAAAAGAAAAAAACAGACAAATTGGGCTTTGTGAAAGATTTTTAAATTTGTCCATCAAAAGACTCTCTCAACAGGTTAGAAAGCAACCCACAAAATGAGGGAGAATGTTTGCAAACCACATGTCTGATCAGGGATTAGTATTTCAAATGTATAGAGAACCCCTAAAACTCAACAACAACAGCAAACAACCCAATTGAAAAATGGATAAAGCATTTGAATAGACATTTATCTAAAGGAAGAAGATATACAAATGACTAATAAGCACATTAAAAATGCTTGAAATCATTAATCATTAAGGAACTGCAAATCAAAACCACAATGAGATACCATATCACGTCTATTACCCCTGCCATCCTGATACAGGTGACAAGTGTTAGCATGAAGGTGGAGAAATGACCACCCTGTCACTCTCGATGGGAATGGAAAATAGTACAGCCTTATAGAAAAAGTATGATGGTTCCTCAAAAAATTTAAAAAAGAATTACCATATGACCCAGCAATTTCACTTCTGGAGCTACATCCCCAGTCCTTTCTGTTTGAGTTTATACCCCAAAGAATCGAAATTAGCATCTCAAAGAGATATCTGTACACCACTTTTCTTATCAGCATTAGTCACATAGCCAGAAGGTGGAAGGAGCCCAAGTGTGCATTGAAGGATGAATGGATACACAAATATATCACATATGGACAATGGAAAGTTATTCAGCTTTAAAAAGGAAAAGAATTCTGACACATACTACAACACAGATAAATCTTAGGGGCATTAGGCTGAGCAAAGTAAGTCAAGCATGAAAAGACAAATGCTATGTGATTTCATTTCTGTGAGGCACCTAGAGTAGTCCAAATCATACAGAGAGACTGTAGAGTGATGGTAGCCGGTGGCTGGGGTGCAAAGGGGAGAATGAGGAGTTACTGGTATTGGGAGTACAGTTTCTGTTTATAAGATGGAGAGAGCTGGTGATGGCCGCACAACCCAATTTACTGAGGGGCTAAGCCCCAGGGTTCCAGAGAACAAGCCCAGAAGATCATGGAAATGCCACCAATGTCCTCACCTGGATAGATCCTGAAGAATCCAGTTGCGCTGCCAAAATACTGCCAGGTCAATGTAGGGTCTCTCTGAAAATTCTCCACAAAAACAGGGTTCAGGGCTTCAGACATGTAGACTCCATTTAAAATATCTGGATCTGAAGGGCAAGATGATAGAAAGAACTTCAGGGGTGACTAAGGTGCAAGCAGAAGTAGCCAAATCCTCACATGCTAAATGGACATGCGCATGCACACACACACACACACACACACACCCCCTCTAGTCCAGAGACTGAGTTCTTTCCCTACTATGGTACTATGGTTTGGATGTATTTGAGGGTGTCCTCAAAGGTTCATATGCTACAAGTTTGGCCTCCAATGCAGCAATTTGAGAGGTGGTGGAGTTTGGTGGGAAGCAATTGAGTTACTGAGGGCACTGCCTTGGGAAGGAATTTTTGTAGTTCTTATATGGCCCTGGTTGGTTCTTAAAGGGGATTTTTATAAAAGAACAAGATTGGCTCCTCCCTACTCTTTTTTTTTTTTTTTTTTTGTACTGGGATTAAACCCAGGGATGCTCTACCACTGAGATACACCCCCAGGTCTTTTTATTTTTTATTTTGAGACAGGGTCTTGCTAAGTTGCTTAGGGCTTCACTAAGTTGCTGAGACTGGTCTTAAACTTGTGATCCTCCCAAGTCTCTGGGATTACAGGCATGCACCACCATGACCAGCTCCTCCCCACTCTTTGACTTCCAGTCTCATGGGCACTTCCACCATGATGCCATCCACCATGATATGACACAGTCTGGCCCCCAGCCCAGTGCCAGTACTATGTTGTTTGGACTTTTAGCTTTCAAAAATGTGAGCTAAGTAAACTTCTTTTCTTTATAAGTTACTCGGTCTCAGATATCTTGTTCTACCAATGAAAACAGACCAATACACCATACTGTGTAGAATAATTTCTTTACTCATCCTTAGTTAAGGAGATTGGAGAGACAATTTATAGCCTGCAGTGCTACTCAGGCAAAGGAGGCAAATTCGTTGATAACACCAGTATCACCACCCCCACCCTCACAACTACCAAAATAGTTCCAAGAGAGTGATAGCCCATGGGAGCTGTGGTGGCAACCTTTGTTGTACACGTTGGTGGGCAGCTGCACATTGCTGATGGAGGTGTTCACACGCAGATTGCTGAAGTGTGCGTTGGACTCCAGGACAAACTCGGCTCCCAGCTCCACATAGTTGCCATTCTCATCCTTCTCATTGATCAAGACTGAGTTGTAGTAGTCAAACTAGGGACAGAGGGGCATCAACCCAAGAGAAACAGAAGACACGGGGGACACTGAGTCAGAGAGAAGGAAATGACTAAGTCAGAAGGATGTGAAAGAGAACTGGACAAACTGGTGGCCAAGTTCAGGGTGATGTGGGGACGACACATGTCCAGATAATTGGAGCTGAGGACACTTCAGAGTAGTTTTTGGTGTAACTTGTCCTGATTATTGCCAGGTTGTCTGCTTGGTTTAGTGTGGGTCAGAGACAGAGTCAGAGGCAAGCAGATAGAGATTCAAGGAGAGATAGAGACAAAGAGCCTCATCAACACCATTAGTTTTCTTCAGGGTGGGAAGGGTGCTGGAGACCAGAATGGCGCCCAGGTGGCCCTGGGCCCTCAGCCTGTGGTTCCCATGTACCTCTCTGAGGGACAGTGGTCTTATTTCTGTCTCTTCCACAAAGTGTGGGAGGGTCCACTTGGATTAGTACCCATAGATCCATAACCACCCTGGCCTCCCATTTCCTCCATACCCCTGTGGGGTGTGCAACACCTCACACCCCTCCAAGCTCCAGCTCCCAACGCTGCAGCCAGCATTAACTTTCTAAAGCCCATGTCCAGTCATGTCTCCCCTAGCTCCCTCCCTCCAGGCTTACCATTCCTTGCAGAAGGAAAATCAGATCCTGAGCCTGGCATTCAAGGTTCCTACCATATCTCCCATCACCTCTCCAAGGCCATGTTCTGAGTCGCCTTTCTCTGGACACAAAGCGGGCTACCCACTGCTTCTTTTCTGTCTTCTCTTTTCCCTTAGCCTAACAACTCTCCTCCAGGCCTTGCCTGCCCAAATCCACACAACCTGTGGCAGGCCTTGTGCAGCTGCCTGCAGGAGTTTCTGGTGGCCCTCCCTCATCTAGTCCTCATTCTCCTATTGCCTGGTTGACCTATCCTTGTGGACTGGTCACATGCCTTCCATGAGGGCAATGTGAACTATGAGCTTCCTGAGGTCAAGACTATGCCCACTCTTGAGCTCAGGGCTTGGCTTTGCCCATGGGGGCGTACAGTATGTTTTACAAAATGAGTGGATCACCACTGTATACTCCACCCTTGTATCCAGTATCAGGCAGCTGGATCTAGTCACCCTTGGTGGCCACTGGGCGTGTGGTTGTTAAACCCTCCAGCGCCAGCTCTGGCAGAGGACTTACCACCAGAGATGCGTTGAACTCATGGTTCAGATCTGCCTCCTCAGCAGCCTCCACCAGACTCTAAGGGACAGGAAGGCAAAGGGGACAGAGAATGGGTAAAGGGGGTCATGGGTCCCTAATAGGTTAACCATAGGATTACAATGTACCCCAACAATTCCACTCCTAGCTGCTACCTGAAGCCAAGCACCCTTGCTCTCCTCCTCTCCTCTCTCATTCCTTTGGCCATGAGGAACCACTTTTATGGTCCCCAAGTGATCTGGGGAGCAGAGGTACTTATACTGATGGGCCCTGTGCTAAGGAGACTTTGTCACTAGAATTCCACCAAGCTTAGCCGGGCCAGGTAGGAACAGAATGTCTCCAACCCTGGCATGAAGTGTCTACTTAAGGAATCCTGGTTGGTGTGAACCAATAGATACAGCAGGGCTTGAGAGGCACAGGCCCACACTCCTCTGCGCAGGAATCAGACCATCCCAAACCAGTGCGGTCTCTGAAAGGACTGATAAGACCAGCCACATCCTCTGGGAAGCCCTGAGAACAAAGAGAGAAGAAATGGGGCTGGGAAGTGGGCTGGCAAACCTTGACAGCTTCGACCTTCCTGCGTAGCATGTTCTCCATGTCCTCCGAGAACTTCCTCACCAGCTCCAGGCCATCCACCTCCTCGATCTGCAGACTGGACTCCACATCCTTGTATTTCTGTTCAGGGCAAAGTGGGAGCAATGGGCACACTTTGTTCTGTACGGGGATGCTTGTGCCTGACCACATGTGGCCTCCACCCTCTAGGCAAGTGTATTCCACATGCAAAGCCTGGTTCACTCAGCTGGAGGGAAGGTCAGGCCCTCTCTTCTTTGCATAATAGCACCAATAATAATAATAGCTGCCTCTTTTCAAATGCCCTCAGTCAATGAACTTGACCAAGGTCAATAGCCATTGAGCAGGGCAGCCTGGATGGGACCAAGGCTCCCAGAATTCCATGCCCACTGGAATGGGCATTGAGGATCACTGCCTGACAAACTGTCAGTGAGCCCAGGAGAGCCTGGAGAACTGGGTTCAAATTCACTTTCTGGGCCCAGGAGAGACCATTTCCCACTGAGTATTCATGAATGCCTGTTTAACTAGCTCTTCAGTCTGTTGGCCCTGTGACTTTAGGCAAATCACTCAGTTTCCTCGCCTGTAAGACTGATGTTTCCATGCCTTAGAGAAAGCTCTAGAACGTGGAGACTCTAAAAAATGTTTTTACCTAAAACTGCCACACAATTACTGCTCTGTCTTCCTCACCTGGGGCTGGAGGGTGCAAATGAGAAAATCAAATGAGTTGGTGTTTGCCACATAGGTATTATGAGGGGAAGCTGGGGTCTTAGCTGTCATTGTGGGGGTGGCAAGTGGTGGGGGGTCCAAGTACTGTAGGGAAGGGGAGATAAGAGAGCGAGGACTGCAGTGTGGACACGGGCAGGCATGGAAGCTGCAATTCGGCCTCACTTATGAGATGTGAAGATGCTTCATGGAACTGTGGTGAGAAATCCATTGTGAACATAAAGCTCTGACTGCATGGGAATGATAGAGAAGGTGAGCTATTATTAAAACTGCTCTGGGAGTTTTAACTCCTAGAGAAAATGAAGTTTCTTATTATCTGGCACAAGGACAGGCTAGCCATACATCTGCACAAAAAGAACTGAACAGATAAAGGATGGAGGTGCTGCAGCCCTGTCTCCTCCACGAGGGCTTTCTGCCTGTGGGCTCAGACCACTGCTAGGGCACCACGTGGGCACTCCAGCTCCTGGACATGGCTGTGGGCCTGAGGGCAGGAGGTAAGGACCACTCTTTCTGCCCACCCGCTTCTACCTAGGGCCCTTGCACTGCCCTTTGAGGCTCCACTGCCCCCTCCTCCTGCCTGCCTCCCTCTATCATGTGTTAGACCTGCACCAAGTCTGCCCACACACTGCTCCCCTTAGTTTTGAGCAGCCTTTCTGCTCACCCAATGAGGCTCTTGCGGGTCTAGTTCCATGTTGACATCAGCTTCCCAAGGAGCTAACTGACCATGCCACCATACTGTCCCCGTTGACTGGCTCTGGAGTTGAGCAAATTATTCACCTCCCTGGGCCTTGGTTTCCTTATCTGAAAATGAGGAATTTGGACTAGATGGTCTCCAAGACCCTTCAAAGTACTGACATTTGAGGACTCTGCTTCTCTACCAGGGAGGAGACCTGACTGACTGCCCTCTGACCTTGACCACCCCATGATCAGTTACTGACCTTCTGCAGCAAGAGGGAGCCGGAGTATCTGGTCATGGTGTCGTACAGGCCCCGGCCAAAGGTTTCTGCCCACAGCTTCACTCTGCCAGGGATGAAAGTCAGTGTGTGTACACAGAGACACAGGCCTCCAGGTGCACACATGTGCAAAGCAAGTGTCTCACACAGACACACACAGGCACAAGCACACAGAAATACACATGATACACACAGAAATACACATGATACACACAGAAATCCATGCACAGGTATGGGTAGACACACACGCACACTAACACACACTCAGAAAACACACACACACAGAGCTCTTGTCCCTCTTCCTGGCCCTGAAGCTGCAGCCCTGGCCAAGGCAGAAGACTGGAGAACCCATCAGGGCCAGCAGCTGCACCAGGGTTCAGTGACGCCCGCTGCTTGGCTGGTTCTCCTGTTGAAGATCACAGGACAAATGAGTCTACAACCAAGTTTGACCCCAAGGCCTCTGGAGCTCTGTTTTTTTTTTTTTTTTTTTGAGTAGAAAAAGGGGAGGAGAGGAAGGGAAGAGGTGATGCACAGGTTCAGGCAGGGTGGGAAAGACCCCAAGAACAAAACTGGAACTTCCTGGGCACAGCTGCGAGTCTCGATGAGCCATTTATACTTGTGTTTTCTTACTCAAGGTCACTGGGGACCACTGAGCCTTCCTCAGAGATAGCATGAGGAGAGGGGCCAGGGGGAAAGGCTCCAAGTGACTTTCCTGAGGCCCAGGGCAGAGTAGGCTGGAAGGGTGAAAGGAGGCCACACCAAGGTCTTGGGTAGGCTGCTGGTAGGGAAATCCTGACCTCTTCTCCACTCCCCAGAAGTACACTGGGATCCTGATATCTGGGAAGGTCCAGGGGTCCTGAGGTTCTCTAGGTGGAGCAAATGGGATTGGTCTGTGTGATCATTCCAAGATCAGCATTTAATCAGTGACTCAACCAAAATTTATCGAGGTCTTATTATGTGCACAGCCTAGGGTGACACCACAGTGCAAAACCTTCACTCGGGAAACAGCCCTTCCCATATAGATAGCATAATACAAATTTGAAGGGGGTCCCATGGAGCTGGGGGAGTGGCAGTTATGGTAAGGGAAGATTTCCTGCGGAGGGGGTATCTGAGGTCAGCGTTATGAGCTTTGGTAGAGCTTAGCCTGGCAAAGAGATTTGGAAGAGGATTCTAGGTAGAGAGTACAGAAGAGCTTGGAAGAATAAAAAGTGATTCCAAGTTTCCAGCTTGGGTTGTTGAGCTCATAGTGGTATCACCAAATAAAAATAAAAAACATCAGGAAGATCAGGAGCACGTTGGGAAGGCGGATGGTGTGACTTGGGTTACAGGGCTGTGGAGCGCCAATGGGTAAATTGTGCACTGCCCAACTCCAGACAGCACCAATCCCGTTTTTATTGAAAGACATGAACTTGAGGTTTAAAACCTCACGTGATATTCAGAAAGAGATGTGCACAGGCATTGGAAATGTGAGTTTCAAGAGACAGGATTGTGAGCCAGTCAGTACATGAGCAGAAATTGCATTCTGAGGGTAGAGGAGTTTTCGCAAGGAGAATGTATAGCATAAGAAGATCCGTGAAAGATGCCAAATGTTGGGGAGTGCCAACAATTTCAGGGGCATGCAGAAGGAAAGGGGCACTTTAAGAAGACAACAAGTAACTCAGAAGCCCCCAGGAAACCAGGAGAGTGTGACAATATGGAAGTCGGGACTTTGGGGTTCAATAAAAGTGGGTAGCATCTAAAGCAACGGGGTCCTGGCAAAACTTAGATTTGGGAGGGCGGCCGGTGAAGACTGGAGGCTGAGTGGAGCTTGACATGAGCGGAGTGAAGGGTCTTTGGGGTGGGAAAGACTGAAAAGAAGAACTCAGCAGGAGAGAGAGGGAAGACACAGGGGAGAGGAGGGTGGGGAGAAGGCTGGGAGGAGGATGTTTGCAGGCTGCGATCTCAGCCTGCTGTTGAGTTTCCTACATAGACTGCCTGCCCTTGGGTTCTCCTCTGCAGAGAACTGGATTCTGGCCATCTGGACTTGGCCCTCAGCCCGTTCCTGGAGTTTGCCTTCTACTATTAATTGGTGTGCATTCTGGGGATGCAAAGTATTAACAGCTCCCCCAGCAACATCAAAGTATTAACATCTTCCTCAGCAACGCGCACCGTTGTAGAGCCGGCAGTGGGTGTCATGGTAAAAAGCAAACCCAGGCTGAGTTCAAATTCTGGCACTTGCATTTACTGGACTTGCAAACTTACAAGAGTATCTAACCTCTCTGAGCCTCTGTACCCTCAAAAGCAAACTAGAAATTATATCACTCATCTCACTGAATTGCGGAAAGGATTACAGGAGTCATGGGTGAAGCACCTAGCACAGTGCTGGGCCGAGAACAAGGAGGGGGATACCACTTGAGGGAAACCAAATCCACTGCTACTCAAGATCAAGTACAAACTCTGTGCATTGTTTGGGCTCCCCCATCCCCACCTCTGTTCAGGCATGTATTTGGTAACTGGATGTACTGATAGCCTGGCTGTCATGCTGGGCTCAGGTGGCTGGACTTAGATGTGGACTGGGAAGTCAACATGTTTAGTCTAGAATGTTCTACTCCCCACATGTAGTGGGAATTCCTAGGACTGAAAAATAAACACTCCAGGGATATCACACAGTAATTTATACCAAGGTGTGAATGACTGACACTAGAGTCTTACCTGGAGCTGGTCTTAATGGTGGGGTATAGAATTAAGGCCTGGAAGGAGGCGAAAAGTCATATAAAGGGAAGAAGGAGGCCACAGGGACAGGAGTGTGAGTCAGCACATGAACAGAAATTGACATTCTGAAGGCAGAGGGACTCTCTCAAGGAGAATGTCTAGCATAAAAAGATCTTTGAGAGATGCCTGATCCTGAACACGCCACCTTCTGTTCGCATGAGCCATTCTGTCAGTTTAGAACTGCCTTCCCCTTTCAGGATGTCACATTACAAGTTTCCCAACAAATCCTCTGGGCAGCCATGACCATCTCTTTAAGGGTCTACACAACACCCCTCCGCGCAGCCTCGTCAGGCGGCCATCCTGGAAAGGGCATCAGCCCTGCAGGGGCTGGACCTGCGACTTGCCATGCTAACAAGGTCAGAGCGGGAAGATCAGTTCTACTTAAAGCCATCAGACTCTGGGGACTCCAAAATCAGCAGAGATTTGGGGAGGAGAGGAGGGCAGGGAAGAAAAGGCCTTGAGAGCAAGACAGTGGGCAGGAGCAGCCCCCAGGAGAGTGGAGAGGGAAGGGAGTAGAGGATGGAGGGGTGCTGTGGGAAGGAAGGGAAGCATAAGGGGTTTTCTGGGGTGAGGCTGAACTTCATGCTTACGTTTCCAGAGGAATCTTGGTCTGACCCCATGTGGGGGCCAGAGAAGTGCTGGACAGCAGCAGCCACAGGATGACTGTGGTCTTCTGCAGGAAGGCCCAGGCTCCTGGCTGCTGATGGCAGGGGGCCCAGTTGTATGTGAAGCCAGGGTTTGGGTAGAACCTGGGTAGCCCAGGCATGGTGATCCTGCTGGGGTCAGGATAGGGGGAGAGGAAAGAGCAGCCCCAGCCCATCAGCTCTCTGGCCTGCCTCCCAGATCCCTGGGAGGTCCAGAGCCTTCGGACTGCAGGACCCTGCAAGCCTAGAGGGCTCAGCCTCTCAGCTGGATCCTGGTAGGGGAGGGCTGCCCCATGGCTGCAGAGGAGCACACCTGACCAGCAGGCCTCCTGGAGAGGTTGTGACAAAATGGGCCTCTCTAATCCTCTGGCCTCTCCTCTAATCCCTGTCTGACAGCAGAGAGGGGGGTGAGCAGAAGGTGTGGGCAGTGACCTCAGCAGGATTACCCTGATCTCAGCTCATTCCATTAGGGGCTGCAGCATATCCTTCTGCTTTAAAGAGGCAGACCTGTACCAACAGAAGAGCTTCTGGACCAAGAGGACCAGGATGCTATGAACCCAGCTAGGGGACAAAGGAAGGGCAGCTGGGTTTGTACAGTGGTCTGATTGACCAAGACTGTAGCAAACCTTCTCTTTGACTTCAGAGAAATCCTGGGAGGACAGAAGCATCAGCCCTGCTTGGCTGGGCCTCCAGAGGCTCTGGGAGCCTGAGATAGGGGTCGGCTCATGTTTCCAAGCCTGCTCCCTTTGGGCTAGGTCACATATAAGGTAATCTATGGGCCCCCACGCCCCACACCTTATGTGCTCATGGCTCTGGGAAAGGGACAGGTTTACTGTGAAGTTGATAGTGTTTTAGGTCCTCCCTCTTGCATGGACTCCTCCATTTTCAGGGAGTTCCTACAGTCAAGTGTTTTTGTAAAATTTACAAAAGTCAGATAGTTTAATCACAATGAGTGAAGTCCCCTGTCTCTGCTTGCTGACTTCTTTGATTGTCCTTTAGTTGGGTTATGTTTGTTTGAATGACTGTGGGCATTTGCACTATCCAGCTCCGTGAAAGTTGAGTTGAGGAAACACTTAATTTGGGCTTAGTGGAATGTAGTTCGGTCACTCACAGTCACTTCCTTGAATAGACAAGTCATCTGCAATCACCCAGGACCATGCCCCCACCCCCAGGTCAAGTTGTATTGCCATGTGAATATGTACTACAGCGCCTACTGCTGGCTATATGTGGTAGGTCAGGGGAAAATAAGGCTCCAGGCCCAGAGCAGAAGCTCATCCAAAGAATCTGGTTCTCCTATAGGCCTAACCAAAACAAGAATTCTCTCCCATTAGGAAAAAGGTTGAGATTGATGGACATAATTGCAATCACACCGTACATTGATTTCTTTTCTGATGGCAATTATGTAAAATAGAATTGATCAACATTTTCATGTTTGTGAAATTGGTGGTGGTACAGTGTGAAGTGAAGCCACACACTATGCATCCCATGTGCTGGACTGCAGCTTCTTCTTAGAGTGACTGATTTGTCTTTCTTGAGGAAATCTGGTGGTTCCAGCAAAATGGTACGCAAAATTGCCACCAACGCAGTAAAATGCTTGAAGAAGCAAGTGTTCTAGTGACAAAACTCCTACACATATTCATCAATAAGTCAATGTTGTAGTATCAGAGGAATCT